AAGTAAACTGAGAAATTCTGTTTGTCATTCGAATTTCAGTTTCTCCCACAGTGATATTCAGGAAGGATGTGGGGCAGGGAGGGGATATTTTGACTTCTGCTTGATGTCAATATTAAAAAATACAATATATCAGTTTCCCAAATCTTTACTTGGTGTGTGGGGTAGGGAAGGAAAGAGAAGCAAGGTTTGGGACATCCTGCAAATATTTCGAAGCACTAATAATTAATATTGAGAGTAAAAAGTATAAGGATATTTTACTGGGTTGTCTATATCTGAGGGAAAAAACAAATTAAACTCTCTTTTTTAAAATATATATATGTATATATAATTGATTTCAGAGAGAGGAAGAGAGGGATGGAAATATCAATGATGAGAGGGAATCATTGATCTGCTGCCTCCCACATGCCCCCCACTCAAGATCGAGCCTGCGATCCCCGCCCCCCCTCCCCCACATGTGCCCTGATGGGGAATCAAACGTGACCTCCTGGTTCATGGGTTGACGCTCAACCACTGAGCAACACCAGCCCAATAAACACTTGTTATGTGCATCATTAATGTTAAAAAGTGAGAAAGTGCCGTAACCGGTTTGGCTCAGTGGATAGAGCGTCGGCCTGCGGACTGAAGGGTCCCGGGTTTGATTCCGGTCAAGGGCATGTACATTGGTTGCGGGCACATCCCCAGTGGGAGATGTGCAGGAGGCGGCTGATCGATGTTTCTCTCTCATGACTCTCTCTCTTCCTTCCTCTCTGTAAAAAATCAATAAAATATATATTTTAAAAAAATTTTAAAAAGTGAGAAAGTATAATAATTTATAATAAACATAATTTAATTATATCCCGTCATACCCCTCTCTTGACCCACCTCCCCTATTACTCTGCTTTCCTTTGTAGATAAAAGACTTTAAGTAAGGTGGGGTTATTTTTCTGTCTCTTGAGTTCTCTTCTTCCTTTCTCTCTTGAACTCATTGTAGTAAGACTTTTTCTTACCGCCATCCAACCTACATTTACTGTCACTTGCTATTCAAAGTGGGGTCAATGAACCGTGGCATCATCACCCCGTGCTTGCTAGAAATGCAGAACCTCGGGCCTTATTGCATGCAGATCTACTGAATCAGCATCTGCAGGTTAAGAGGATCTTCCAGTGATTTACATGCACAGTAAAGTCCGGAAAGCACTGGGCTAGTTCCTAGGTCCCACGAGAATGGGAGCTGGTTTCCATTCATTATTGTAACTTCAGAAAGCCGAGGCACTCAAGATATACTGAATGAATGAATGAATGAATGACGAATGAACGAACGAACGAACGAATGAACAGATGTGCTGTGCACCTGTTTCAAACGGACTCCCCGCTGATGATGTGTGCAAGGCTGGAGAGGGGCAAGAAAGACATCCAAAGTCAAAACTATCTCCCCCATATATTGTGCTAAATTAGAGATTCCCTGGTATCAGCACATCCTTCTTTCAAAATGCAAATATACTCCCCAAATAAAGCAGTCCTTCACAACTTCCTGTGGATTCCTTAAATGAGATAATAATTCTCACATCTAACAGAATCAGCCAAACAGAGGGAACAGGAATGAAGGAAAGCTGAAAACGTAGTAAGTGCCTGCTCTGTGCTGGCCACTGTAGCAGACAGGAGGGAAACAAAGATAAATCAAGAACTTACAAGGTGGTGGGAGAGGCAGAGGACCCTTCAGGGGAGGACCAAGAGGGTGAAGTGCCTGCCAGAAGAGCCTGGGAAAGCCCCAAGACGGTAAAAGTGTCCTGAGTAGTCCTCCCTTTAGCAACCCGTGTTCTGGCCACAAAGAACCCTTTCCTTTTCCTCTGCCTGAAATGTTACCATCATCTGCCAACACCTACTCATCCGTCAAAGCCCCCACTCTCCCCGAATTCACTGTCCCTCATTTTATTAGATCTGATCACACATATCAGAGTTCAAGGGCACATATCACCCTCTCCATGAGGGGCTTCTACAAGCTACCATATCCTTACTCACCTCTGTATCCCCTACCCCAGCACAGCACCGGGCACAATATCTGTCTGGTCAGTTTCCGCCACTTTAGAAGAACACTAGCACTCACTGAGCATGTAGTATGTGCCAAGCACTGTTTTAAACACTTTAGATGTAGTAATTCATTTAATCCTCACCACAGCCCCATTAGATTGGAGCGCTCATTACCCCCATTTTACATATCAGGAAACCGGGGGGCTTCACATAAAGGAATGAGCACTGTACCTGCACCTATGGGCAGACAGTAAATGTTTACTGACATGAAGTGAATGGGTGACCAGCAGTTGAGAAGATGAGGGAGTCAAATTTGAACTTTACTCTTGTGTCTGGAGCCCCCGAGGGCAGAGGAAAGTAGAAGGTGTCCACGCTTGCTGCTATAAAGAACCTTCTTTCCCACACCAACCTCCCACGTCCGAAACGGAAGTGACTGCCTGGGAGCAAGGGCTCTGTGCAGATGAAGTCAGGCGAGCACTGAGGGAGGACACTCCAAGCAGCCAAGAAAGGAAAGAGAAGGAAGCCCGATTCCTCAGCAACATTCAAGCAGAAGAACTTGCGGTGGAGCGGGTGGAGGTGGGCTGGGGACATGCTGCAGGGGCCGTAGGACCCGAAAGTTCTGAACAACTGCTACAGCATTTTCCAGAAACAATCTATTTTTACCTATTTTTCAACAGAGGTAAACGTCTAGCTTAGCTTTGCTTAGGCAACCAGGAACCGCAGTGATGCAAGTGACAAGCCTGTAGCAAGCTGGCACCTGCAGCAGGATCTTAACGTGACGGGTTTGGCTTCTCAAGCTCAGCATCGACCATATTCTGTAGAGAGTGGCAGCTCCAACCTGCAGCTACCCCTCAGGATTATTTCAAAACCGGGTCGTTGGTTGAAAGTCAAAGGTCCTGGAGAAGTGTCATCCATTCTTCTCCTGCCTCCCTCCTGACACTGCTTCTTCACAAGAGCCCCCTGGGACACCCTGCATTAGGTCCAGGACTCGCCCACCCTGCCTCCAGTGGAAATCAGAGAACAAATGAAAGCGGGTCGGAGGCGAGGCAGGGGGCTCAGTGTTGAACTCGCCCACTGAGAGAGAAACAAGTTGTGAAACTGAATCGGGGACGAACACACTGGAAACCCATAGAGCCCAGCGGTCGGCTCTGGATCCACACCCAGGTGAGCTGGACCGCCAGGAATTGCTCATCAGAGTGACAGCACAAAGAGCACCCCAAAAGTACAGAGGAAGCAACAAGTCACTCCAGCGAGAGGGGGGGAAGCAGGACTTCCGGGACCAACATCAACTTTAGTGGTTTTTACTGTGACTTTCATCATCTTTCCTAGTGATCCCCATACTGAGAGAAAAAGGCAAAAGGACATCCCAGCGAAAACCGAAAGCTGTGGATGGGAAGTCCCTGAGTCTGGCAGCCTGAAAGAAGAGGCAGGTTCGGGTCACAGAGATTCAGAAGGTCAATATACAGAGGCCGGAAGGGAGATCAGAAACGCAAAACCAATCCGCGGGCATCACCTGACATCAGGAACAATGCACACATCCAACTTTCACACATTACAGATGGTTGGACGGTATCTGCATGCAAACAAACAGCATCCAAAAGTTAGTGTCTCGTGACTTGATTACAAAACTATCAAGGATCTGCTTCATTTCAAAGAGCTCAGGGTGGTTCTGAGCCAATGAACACCAAGTGATTTACATGTGTCTGACTCAGGACTTACCTTTTAACCATGACACCAAATTCACGCATTGAAAACTGCTAGAAGCACATAAATTGAGGGTTAAAATTCTCCAGGGGCTTTTCTCGGGTCTCTGGCACACAGCCAAAGATGACCAAACTCTGTAGCCACTCTAATCACGACAGAAAATTTCTGGGCAGTCGGTCACTTGCACACATAGACACCTCATGTCAGTGACATCGCTTTAAATGAAGCAAAGCAAAACGGGCTTTGAATTAAGCTGTTGAGGATAAGAAATATTTTTAACCTGAAAGACGCTTATCTAAAAGCGTGAGTTCCTTCATCATTTAATCTAATTTGGGGGAAGGGGTACACTTCGGGGGCGTTGGGGGGAGTAGTAAATAGTCCTCATTAGTCCTTGCTAAAAATCACAAAACCATAGGTCCTATGGCATGGGATCATATTAGCTGAAGTGAGAACTATATTCCTTGATAAACGGAATGTACCAAGAGCCAACAATTTCACCACAAACAAAAGCCTGCCCTTCACAAGTGCCATAGTAATCATTCTTATTTCAAAGACACTTGCTGACTGCACAGCGTACATTTAAAGCACATCAGCAGAATAATCCTCCCCGAATGGTAGTTACAACAGATTTCTCAAAATCTTCCAAGGAATTACAGAAACCGATTCCCTGAGGATTCCTGGGAGTCTGAGAGCCAAGCGTGATTGTGAACTAACCTCCTGTACACAGTGGATTCCATGTACCTGATCAGTGCCTGGATCCCTCTGTAACATGCAAGCAATTATTGTAGGTACCTCGCTCCCCAAAAGAAAAGGCCTCTCCTGTCAACACAGGGGAAACTATTCGGGAAGCCCACATGGTAACTGCCTTAAACTCTGGCCATTTCAGGCAGTTAAAACAAAGCGGACACCCAATAGGGAGCCCAAAATATAGCGGACGTCCCCACCCTGAGATATGTCCTACGAAAACACTCCCCCTTTAAGATGTGCTAAGCACACCAGGCCTTTCTCTAAACGAAGCGTGCCGGCGGGACCACAGGGCAGGACCTGCAACTTGTCCAGGAAGAAGGTCCGAAAGCACCTCTTTTTACTTCCCCGCCCAGCCGCGCTTTTCCCGGGAGACACGGCTCTGTGAGTCCCGCCCGCCGTGGCAGCAGCAAAGGGCGGAGGAAATCCCAGCGCCGGTGCCGCACAGACCTCTCCCTCCACGGCCGCCGCGCCAGGTGCCAGCCCTTTAGGGCGGCGGGGCCCTCGCGGAGACCTCCCCGAGCGCGCAGCGGGCGCCGAGTGCTTACCCGGGTGCGCCCGGCAGTGCGCGGGCAGGGCCGCCAGCAGCAGGAGTCCCAGCAGCAGCGGCGGCGGCGGCGCGTCCAGGGACCCGGCGGTCCGGGGACCCCGCGCGCGCCCGGAGCCTCTCACGCCCGGGCAGCACGCGACTCCTGCGCCGGCCGCACCGAGCCCGCGCGCCCCGGGCCGGCCCCTGCGCTTCCTCGCCGCCGGCCCAGCTTCCCTTGGGCGCTGGGGCTTCGCCTCCTGCCGAGCCATGGGGACGCTTCACACATCCAGGCCGCCGCCTCGCTCCGCACAAGCGCCCGGGAGCCCAGCCTTCGGCGCCCTG